AAATAATGAACACTGTTCCATAATTTATGAATTTTAAAAAAAATTATCACCCATATATGGAATAAGAAAAACTAAAACTACACATTTTTTTCATTTTTTATTTTTAACTCTTTAAACTCTAACGGTAATTTTTTATTCCTCTAACATTGTCTTTTTAAATTTGTAAAGATGAAAAACTATACCAAAGTGGCATAGTGGTTAGTGGAGGTGGTGAGCATGACAACAACAAGGATAATGATGAGCTCGGTCAGAGTATTATATGGATGAGTTTTGAAAAGGTAAATATTACTTAAAAGAATAGTAGATAGTTTGGGTGATAAATTGATTTAAAAAACTAATGTGTGGTTGATATTAAGTGTGAATTTTACTCTATAAAAATTGAATATGGATCATATATTATTTTTTTATATATCATTTTAAGTACTTTGTTAGAACTATAAAAAAATTATTGTGATCACATGGTATTTATCATCTGATATATTATTATTGTACTATTGTAATGAGTTTTATTATTAATGTCTATTATCAATGTAGTGGGGAGATGTCACATGATAAATAAAAATATGTTTTGTTATTATTATTATTGATAACATATTTCTTTATTTATTTTTTACAATGTTAAAAAATAATTTATGTTCATTGTTAGTTTTTGTAGATGAGAATTCAAAAATAAATTATATATAATTCAAGTTATAACTAATTTCAGATTGAAAAGGAAAATTCAAAAGAAATTATAATTATATATAATTTTAAATATTTTTTAAAAAAATACAAAGAAAAATTGAAACTATAAATTATAATTATCAAACAACCTAATTCTATTATAAAAAAAAAAGTTAAATGAAAAATTGGTCAAATTTAAATTTATAATTATTAAAAAAATTAATAAGATATCAATTTTCTATTCAAGATCTAGCTTGATTTGATCTTAAATAGTTTTTCAAATATAAATATATCTTAATATTAATACAATCAATATTAGACATATTTTAAGAAGGGAAAAATATATTGATGATCCCGCATTTTGTCTCTTGTGTCAATTTGGTCTCTGTAATTTTAAATAACTTGATTTTGACCATTAATTTTAGAATTTGTATCAATTTGACCCAATTGATAATATCGGTTAAAGTTTTTAAAAGAAAATAGTTATTTAGTTGGTTGACATTAACTTATTAAGTTGAACAAATTTATAATTTTATTTATAAAATTATCACAGATGCTACTCATGTGTATATTTTCAATAAAAAAAAAAAACACTGGCAATTATAAAAATTGGACCAAATTGAGACAAAATTATAAATTCAAGATCAAAATAGAGCAAATTAAAATTATAAGGATAAAAATAACACAAGAGTTAAAATATAAGGACTACCAATATAATTTATTCTTTTAAGAATAACTACATAATTTCTTAATTAATTTTAAAATTGTTAATAAATATAACAAACAAATATGTACATATTTCCTATTTTTGTTATAAATTTTTTTTTAAATATATTTACTAATTATAAATTAAATAAATAGGTGGGTCTACTAACTCATGCATTGGACATGAACTAGACGATTCTCCAAGGATTTGGCTTAAATTAAGAATTATTGGCAAAAAAATCGACTTGAACTAAATTTTTTTAGCTATTTTTTAATGTTTAATCCAATATTGAAACCCCCAAATTAGCTCATATCAGTTACGAATTGATAAGCTATGATAAAATATAAATTTATTAGGACTAGAATATGACCTACAATTTATGGTGGCTCTATCTTAGATAATTTTTCATCCATAAATATATAACTATTCATTTAATTGTTTTAAACATAAATATATAATTTTTTTAAACTAAGTTCAAAATTTTTAATTATTATAAAAAATACTTACAAATATCTATTTACTAATTCAATAAATAGATAGGTCAAATAATTCATATAAGTTGGGAATAGGCCAAGATAATTTTTAATGATTGAGTGAAGGGCAAGTTGGTGTAAATCTAATATTAAGCGTAAATCTAATATTAAGTCTAAATTTAATATCACAAGTGAATTTTAATCCATTTTTACGTAGATCTTATAACATAAAACAAATTATAATTTTGATGCTAGACAAATTTTTAGACTTTACAAAACATAAAAAAATTAATATATTGAGTAATGTAATTTACCATTATCATATGATAAATTAAATTTACGAAACTTATAAGGCGAAATGTATTGATATTTTATCATAAATATAATTTTTGTGATTTATTTTTTAATTTTTACCAATTAAATTATGACATATATTTGTTATTCAGAACTTAGAGCACATAATTAATGACATAAAAATAAAAGAAAAAATTCTCTTATATGTAACTGTGATAAAAATGAATAAAATTTAATTGATTCTAAATAATTTCTACTAAATATTCTAGACAAATTTTTTAAATTATTATTTAATTTTAAAAATTAATTTTTGGTTATTTATTTATACCCTATACTAGTTAGTTAATGAATTAAATTAGATAAAAAGTAATTGATGTTTTATTATTAAATGTTAATCACATATTAGTGATACCGTCATATTAACGTTATTCTGAAGTTTTATTCGCGTGTATAAATGTACTTTCTGTTGCGTATGAACAGGACAAGCTGGACCTGCATGCAACATATAATTACTGGAAAAAAATGATTCCGTGCAAGGTAAGAAAAAAATATATATGTTTATTTTATTTTTTTGAGTCTTCGCCAATGACAAAAGGTCGTAGAAACTTGAACCCGGATATATATTTTTTTGAAAGAAAAATGCTTGGGAGCACTAATGAGTGCTCCCACTAATTAGGTGGCAGTGGGTCCCGCCATTACTGATGTGATGTTTTGGTCTTAGAGTTGCATTTTTTTTATTTTTTTTTTACTTTTTTAATGCATTAGTGCTATTAGTGGTGATGTTTTTAGTGGGATGAATCATTGTTGTTTTTCTTCTCTTCCAATCATCAACCCCCGCGTGTGTGTGGGGTGGTGGGGAGAGAGAGTCTCCATCACTTCCGATGTTTCTTTATTACTGACTTTTAATCTTTATTTGTTTGAATAGAAATTATTTTTAAAATTTTTTTGTATTTTTTAGTGTTTAATACAGTGAAAAAAGAAAATCAATAAAAAAAATATTTTTTATGATCAACAAAAAATAAGTTTATATGAGTGAAAAATATTTTCGACTTTTAAAAAGTAAAAAATATTTTTTGAACTAAAATCTTATTAATGCTATCACATTATCACCGTCACTCTCACCTTCACTACCACACCACCATCACCATGACCACTGTCACTGCTACCATTACCGTTATTATCACTGTTGCCACTACCTCACCATCATGTCACCACCTCCACCTTTACCTTCATTTCACCACCACCAAATATGAAAAAATATTTTCTCCAAAAAAAAAAATTAAAATTAAAATTTCCATAAAAAATATTTTCATTTGAAAATATTTTCTGCATAAAAATGAACCTTGTCCAGCATTGTTTGTCTGTCCCGAACAACACGAGTCGACGGGAAGGCCAAATAGATTGACTTGCAAAGCAAAATAGATTGATTTCTCTTCATTTCAATTTAAGCCTATATGAAAATATTTCTATTTGAGTAAAAAATATTTTTCACTTTTTAAAAGTGAAAAATATTTTTTTAATTAAAAATTTTATCAATATCATCACATTACCACCATCACCACAGTTACTGTCAATATCATCGTTGCTATCACTATTGCCACCTCCTCACCACCATGCCACCACCTCCGCATCCATTTTCATTTCACCACAACCACTAAAGATGAAAAAATATTTTCTCCAAAAAAATAAATAAATTTAAAATTCCTTAAAAAATATTTTCCACCTAAAATGAACATTGTCCAGCATATGTTTTGCCTGTCCCAAACAACACGGGTCGACGGGATTGACTGCGTTGACAAATTAACAAAGTACAGGATGGGCCAAGATTATATAAATAAAGTGAGATTAATCCATCTATTTAATGAGACTTGCAAAGAAAAATAGATTAACTTCTCTTCATTTAAATTTAATTGTATCGAGCAGTTCGAGCATTAAATTTGTATTTGTAATATGTTGACATGAAATGATACTTTAACCTCAACCAATATGAACTCAATATTAGGCATTAAAGAATTGTTTGGAATGTTCTAAATAAGTACACTTTTTGACTTTTTATAAAAAGATGTGTAAAAAAATAGAGAAGAGATATTGATTGATGTGATCCAAAAAAGATAAAAAGTATGAACTTATTTAACCTTCCCAAACCAGGCCTAAATTTGTATTTGTAGCACATTGATATTTGTAACAAATAAAAGCTCAGATCTCTCCACCATTCATACTTACCAACATATTTTAACCTCAACCAATATGAACGAACTTTTAATATTAGTCATATATAAACAAAATCTGGTAAAATAATGTATTTTTTTAGAGGGGTGGTAAAATAATATTATGAAAAAAAAATTATATATAAAAAAAAATTACACAAAATGATTAGTCTCATATTGAAAGTCAAAATACTTATAACTATGATTCATAATTATAAAAATATTGAATATTACTTTCCATCTTAGAAATTGCTAAATATACCCACCAAATTTGTCTTTACACTAGCATGTACAATTTCTTTCTTTTTTTTTCCCGCTACAAGTTTATGGGTGTATAGAAAGATTATGTAAATGTATTTTAAAACTTTTAGGGTTGGTTTAAGAATATACTATTTTAATAACTTTTTGATATTTTAATTAAAATATGAGATGAAAAAAAATATTTTTTTACGAAAAAAACGTGTAAAAAAAAAGAGAATTTTTAACTTTTTTATATGATTCTTTAATTTTTTTTAACTTTTTTAGTGGCTTTGATTTTTATGTTTCCAAAGCAAGCCTTATTGTGATATTAAATCTACAGTACAGCCTGTTTTCCAAATATTTCGTAAATTTTGCAGTAGAATTTTATTTTATTGAGATTTTCACTACACACTAATAGGCCAAGAAATGTAAATTTTGATCAAATAAATAATTAAAATACAAGGCACATTGACAATAGAAGCACAACAAAGACCCTAATAACTAAAACACCAAAAATATATTAAAAAAATGCTATATATATAAAAGGAATTTCTTACCTCACTTTTTTCCCGCTAGACACAAAGCAATAGAACCCACCACCTTTATGTCTAATAGGAAAAAAAAAATGAAATAAGAAATCTATTTGTATATAACATTACTCTAAATATATCAACACACCTCATGAAAAATGTCACACCCATACAAACCTTGTACTCAACTAGAAGCTGTAGTACACAAGATACAACGGATCCGCGGGGCACCTGAAGCAGTGTCATCATCGTCATCGTTGTCATGGTCAACATCGCCGTCATCATAATCGTAGTATGATGTTTCCTGGGAAGTGGCTTCCGCCGATTTCTTGCCACTAACCAAATTGGTAGAATCCGAAAGACAAGTTGTGTGATAGGCATGACAACAAAAGAATACAGTGATTGATACATTCTGTATAGAAAAGGGATCGAAACAAATGCAACACCTTCCACCTCCCCTAGTCTTAGACTTAACCTCCATAGTTCTCGTGTTCGGTGCTCTCTCAGTTGACCGAGAAGCCCTACTGTCATCCCTTTTAGCACGTGCATCATCTTCTTCATTACTCAAGTGAATTGCACGCCGTGCTTCTTTGTAGTATTTTACCAACAGGTTAACGCAATCAGCCTGTCAGTTAACAATTTGACCAAATCATCAACAATTTTCAATTAGCCTCGAAGGGGAGGGGGGAGATCAGGAGAGGGAAATTAGGAACAATCATACGAGCATAGACAACCTTGAGAATATCATTACATCCATGTCTAAGAGAAGTTTCCGTCCTATAGTCTGTTATGATTTTGACTAGCCGATCCCTTAGCCTGAAAAGGAATTAAAGATAAGAGTCAAGAAAAATATGATTCATTACTTCCATAACAATGCTAGAAGTGGAAAAAATATATATACATTTCTCAACCAGAAAGACAAAAGGCTTCCATGCAAGCAGAATTACAACCATGACCTTTAGCAAGTTTATCAACATCCTATTGAAACATCCCTTTTTTCCATGAGGACAACTCAACAAATAGATGCTGTTTAATTGAACACCAAAGCCAGACACAAAACAGAAAGAAACATCGAAAATAACAGATAGAAGTAAAAGAAAAGCATATTTCAATCAGACTAACCGAGGTATCTCCAAGCCATTAGGCACAATATTTACAATGTAGAGAGGATCAAGATTGCCAACAGTGTGCTCCAGCAACACACCCACCTGCCAATTTGCAAAAACGTGTGTAAAGACTGGCTGAAGGAACCTTCTTCTTCTTTTTTTTTTTTACCCTTTTTTTTTTTTTTTTTTTTTTTTGGGGGGTGGGGAGGGTGTTAAGCGAGGAATAAAAAGAACTTTTCAGTATCTGCACTGATTATGTTTTGATGTGCATTTAATCAGAAAAATGAGTCTATGTACCATTTCCGGCTTATGAAAACACTGCTTTATCAACTCTTCCCAAAGATCATCATCATGCTGCATGCTCACAAATTCTATAGCCTGTACAAAGTATTATCACATCACCAACAAACTTCAAAATAAAATACAGATGGAAAACCAGAGGGAAAATGGCAGGTACCTCTTCAATATCCCCTAATTTATTTATGATAATCGCAAGGGCTTGTCTTGAATTTCCCATTCTTCCGAGGATGAAAACTTGCTCTCTCAAAAGCTCTCTTTTGACACAAATTTCATATGCCTGAGACAAAATTACAGGAACTATTACAAAGAAACAGAAGCAAATTTCATATGCCCGAGACAAACGTACAGGAATTATTACAAAGAAATGGAAGCAAATTTCATATGCCTGTGCCAACCTTCTCAAGTGTATAGTGCTGACTACTGCGAAGAAACGGAAGCAACATTTTTGGATCAAAGTCTGCATAAAGCTCCACCTGGTACAGTTAGTAAACAATAGCACAAAATTGTTAGGTATTCATGCAACATAATGCATGAAATGACAGGCATGTGTCAACATACACATTAACTACTTGAAAAAACAGACACAATATTTTAGGGAAAATGTGATAAAATCCTCAATAACACTTAGTGATGAAACTCTGGAATTAATGCAGATGCCCCGCATTCAACTCCCACCCCTGACTAGCCCTGATACATGGGACCAACTCTCAGTAGACCCCACAATACCAAAAAAAGAGTGGGAGAGAAAGAGGAGGTGGAGGACAACCAAAAAGTTATTTTCAAGTACCACAAACAGATACACAATGGAAGTAGTCACCAGGCTGGGTATTTCCCATTGAATGAACCAAATATTAGTAGGTTACTAACATAAAATAACAGAATGCATTTACATGCATACCAGTACAACTACCACAATATCCCGTGATACAAAGGACTACCATTTGCAAAAGAAGTATTTTTTAATAGAATGGACAACCATCAACTACTATTCTGAAGGCTTCATTAGTTTCAAAATTCACAAGCAAACACCTTCCAAACCACACCCCCCCCCCCCCCCCCCCCCCCCCCCCCACCCCAACCCCCCCCCCCCCCCCCCCCCCCCCCCCCCCCCCCCCCCCCCCCCCCCCCCCCCCCCTCTCTCTCCTTCCCTCACCCCAAAAAAAATAAAAATGGAAGGTGGATTCTACCAAAAAGGAGAATTAATTGATTGAGCTCACAAGAAGATTGTTCGTAGGGGTTGAAATTATAGAAGATAGAATTAGATGATAATAGCTGGCCATTGCATAACTCTTTTTGTTTGTTCACTTCATTTTGAACCCACGTCTACGAGGTACCACAAGAGAAACTACTGATGAGCCTCTTCTGAAATTGAGAACAAAAACAACTAACTGTAGAGTGAAAGCATTTTATAATATAAATTTAACTCTCTTTCCATGTACCTGCATATCATGGAAATCCCTTCCAGCACCTGGGTTAGCTTCAAATAGTGAGAGCAGATAAAGATGTAAGAAGTATCTGAAATCACACTTATTCCCAGCAGCCAAAAGTTGTGAAACAACTTCAGATGGAGTGATCAAGTCTCTGTGATGAATCAACAATGATACAGCACGTTTGCAATCTAACATCATCAGTTGGACAACCTGCAAATTCATGGATAACAGAAGAAAAGAGTCATAGAACCATGTGCTGGGAGTACCTTAGAACAGGTGCAACAATAGTTTTAAATGTGAATTTGGGAGAACAAAATGTCAGTGTCTTTTCTGTCTTTTCACATTTTTTGGCAACAACTAACAATAACAACAACAAAGTAGTGATCATGGAAATGGGAATTTTCAAGCTTAGATGCGATATGAAGTTGTGAACCAAAACTTTCACCTAATGTGGTATATAAACATACCTTTTCACGAACCAAAACTTTCACCTAATGTGGTATATAAACATACCTTTTCACGAATTGCATCATGTAAATTATGTTTTTCGATGAAATCAAATACATCCGGCTTCAGAAGCTGTGAATAAAAGAAAAGGAAATAGTTTTAAGTGTAACTATTTTGAGCAGTGGCTGGGTTTCTGCATGACCAGTAATGTGCATAGAGAACTTACATCAGCATATAGTGCAAAAGCTTTCTCGTACTGCCCATCAATTACATACAACTCTGCTAGTGTCTGACATGGTAAATTAATGCATTATGGAAAGATGTAGTAACCAACAAAATTGTAATTAGTATCAAGTTAAAGCTGTTCATAGTGACCTCTTTGAGTGCATCAGTCATGAATGAACTATTAAGCTGAGGTTCTATGGCTGAGATAACTGGTAATGCAGAATAAATTACAGGAGGCCAAGATTTAACAGTGGACAAGAGATCCTTGTGGAAAGATGGAATTGTTGCCAGCGCAACAAGCGCAACCTGTGGAATAACAAAAACCACTGAGACATTTATTCACCATTCAAAGACCATATGAAGTATCAAATAAAGTTTGCTGGAAATGTGTATTTTGCATACCTCATAAGCAGTATTACGTAACCTTGGGTTTTCAGTTGGCATGTATGGAACCAATACGGGAAGCTGACGAAGATGAGCAAAGTGGAAAACCCATCTGTGGGAAATAACCCACTGGCAGTAAATAAATATAAATTTACAGAAGAATCGTATGTTTAACAATATTTAGTACCTCTCCCATGCTGAAGCAGATCCTCGCAACAATTTGGGACATAACGATGCAGCTTCAGCATACTTCCTTTCCACAATCAAATGGTCAAGATAGCTTGACCCCACCTGAGCAAGTAGTGGACAAATTGGATCAAAAAGTGTTACTGATATCAGAATAAAATATATAACTGTGGAAGGAAATGGGTAAAAAGTGGAAGTTATCATCCACATATTTCCAGGACAAAAGTTGAGAGTCAAATTCAACAAAAAAATATATATACACAGCAGGAGATCTGCAAAACAGCCATACCAAGGCTACAAAAATGACTGACCACAAGGAAATCATAAATGGAAATACAGAAGGAATAAATAATAAATTGTCACATCATGATTAGAAAAAAAGATTGACAAGGAAAATAGCATATGTTGTATTCCAAAAGCACATAAATGAGATTGAGTTTGATTACCAACCGAACACTGCCATGTGTTGGTTGTGGCTAATGTACGTGATACCTTGGCCCCAAGCCAAAGTACCTGGGGCCAATCTCCAGGAAACCCCCCAGGCACACTCAATTTTCCCTGATTTGGTCAAAAAATTTAGAAGATGTAATTGAAGCTCACCTCAAGGCAAGGCTAAGGCAAAACACATCGAGGTTTTCATTTTTAGGCAGCACTCCTAAAAGTTTGCTCATCACAGTCTAAGGTGTGCCCCTCAGGTGCACCTTATATGCCTTTTTAGATATACACATAGTTTTTTTGATCAACAACAAAAATTTATTGATTAATCAAAAAGAAGAAATGAGGATAAGGCGTCCTCTACAAAAAAGAAGCAAAGAAAGAAAATACATAACCCAAACAAAGACTATGGCCTTGTTTGGTTTGTGTTTCTCAAAAAATTTTGGGAAAAATTCTCTACAAGTAAGTTTTCAAAAATAATCAAACCAAACAAGTTTTTCCAAAAAAAATTTCCAAAACTTGTTTGGTTTACAAGTTTTCCAAACAAATCTCTCTCTCATACACATCAAATCAATCACTTTTTCCAAAACTCTCTCTCAAAATAATCTTTCAAAATATCTTTTGAAAAAAAACCAAACCAAACAAATTTTCGTATTTTTTATCTCAAAGCATGTTTCTCAAATACAAACCAAACAAGCCCTATATCAACAAAATCTACAAATCACACACAGAGAACCAATCTCTAGCTAACAAAAATAATGGAATTCCCCTTAAAAAAGGATTCACCGAAACCCAAAAAGAAGTTAAGTGACAAACTTTATCCCACAAAAAATCCACATCTTGGGGTTTATCTTTGAAAATCCACGCATTTTTTTCCAATCACAAAACCCAAAAAGGTGCAAAGACGGTGCAAAACCAAAGCACTTTGGCCTTCTTCGATCATCCCAAAATGCGAAAGTTGATTAGAAGCATATGTGCACTACCTTTTGGGGCCACCCACATAACATTCCTCAAAAGAAACAATCTATACCATAAACTCAAAACAACTGGACAGTGCAAAAATAAATTATCCAAGGATTTACCATCCTTACAACACATAATACACCATTGAGGATTTAGAGAACGATTAGGCCTCCTTTTTTGTACTGTATCATTTGTCAAAATGCCTCCTTGAACCAAGGACCACATGAACACCTTCACCTTAAGAGGAACACGAGCCTTCCAAATTCTTTTACAAAAAGGAAACTGATGAACTTGAGAATTATCACTGATTTTGTCAAAAAAAGATACCCAATGAATAAAGAGTCCAAATCCTCGTATCCTCCAAAAGAGGAACCAAGGAGAAATGATCAATTCTTGACAACAAAGATGTCAACTCTACAATCTTCCTATTATTGAGATTCCTCGAGAAATTGAAATTCCAAGAGATTGGAGCCACAAATGAACAAGCCATGGAAGCAATAGAACAATTATGAGATCGAGCCACTCTATATAAATGCGGAAAATCTGAGGCAGAGGAACCTATCCAAAAATCCTCCAAGAATCGAGCATGTTTCCCATTACCTACTCTCACAGAAAGATAACGAGACCAAAGTTGATAGATGTGAGAAATTGACTTCCAAGGAGCACGAGAAGTTCCCCTCAAAACCATCTGTGAATCCCTACCATTATCCTAAATCCCATACTTGCTTCTAATAACATAATGCCATAATGAATCACTCTCAATTGGAAATCTCCATAACCATTTGCCAAGTAGTGCCAAATTCCTAGCACAATGTTGCCAATGGCCAAACCCGTCTTCTCCTTTAGGAATGAAACTATCTCCTAATTCACCAAGTGATCCTTCTTCCCTTCATCCTTACCTTTCCAAAGGAAATCTCTCATCAACTTTTCTAATGACCTTGCCACCTTCACTAGAATTTTGAACAAGGAAAAAAATTAGATGGGAATTCCACTCAAAACTGTCTTAACCAAAGTATATCTACCCCCACACGAGAGTAAAGCCTTGCTCCACCCTTCCAACCTTTTGCAGATATTTTCCACAACTGGAGTCCAAAAAGATTCACTCCTAGGATTACCCCCCAATGGAAGTCCCAGATATTTGAACGGAAGTGTCTCTATACCACATCCTAGAACTGAAGCCCTTCTCTGGGGCTGATTATGTTGCATATTAATGCCCACCACGCTGCTTTTTTCCAAATTAATCTTAAGCCCTGAGATTACCCCAAAAAGCTTCAATAACGAAAAAAGATTAACTATCTGATTCTCATCCCCCGAGGAAAAAAAGATGGTATCATCCGCATACTGCAAGTGAGTCACACTAACTCTCTCTCTCTCCCCAAACCTCTAATCCCTCAAAAATGCCTACCGCTATAGCTCTATCAACCATTCTTCCTAACACATCAACCACCAAAATAAAAAGAAAAAGTGATAATGGATCTCAACCACCAAAATAAAAAGAAAAGGTGATAATGGATCTCCTGTGGTAATCCTCGCGAAGCCTTAAAACTTTCACCCAGTTTGCCATTAACTAAAACTAGCATACTACACGTTGACAAACATCCCCTAATCCAAGATCTCCATCACTCACCATAACGCTTCCTATCCATTACAAAATCCAAAAACTGTCAATCCACATGATCATATACTTTCTCAAAATCAACCTTGAAAATAATTCCCTCCTTCCCTAGACCTCTAAATTCCTCCACCACCTCATTTGCCACCAAGGCCACATCTAAAATCTATCTTCCTTTCACAAATCAAATGTAATAATGTTTCATATGTACATGTGTACATGTTAATCCATGAACACTAGTACATACAAAATTATGACCCCACCGATTACAACACAAATATATAAATGATCCACAAAACCAAAATCAAACAAAATTACCTCTTCACGAAGCTCATTCCGCCCTTGGCCAGCTTCAACGGCTTCTAAAGCTTTTTCATGGCATCCATGTTGAAGAAGCCAAGAAATATGATCTTCTGCATCCCTATCAACAAGATATTACATTTGTACATCAACAAAGTTTACGACCTTTAAATTAATGTGGCAAAAGAGACAACATGGTAACAACAAAACAATGCAAGTAGTCAAGTAATCAAAATTAACCGTTTAAATTCCAATTTTTCTATCAAGATGACTAAAAGCATTTTCAGGCCATCCACTCACCGTATTAGGATTGGACATAGGCAATAGGCCATCAAGGATTTTCACATGGGGTCATGAATTAAAATCCAAATATGTTCAAAAAGTTGATAAAAAAATTAAATAAAAAAACTTCTTGTTTAAAAGATTGAGAACAATCATAATATATGCAATATATGTATACCAAATATATTATGATTGTGAAAACCTAACGAAGAACATATAAATTTTTTTCCCCCTAGATTTACCTAATCAAGAATCTGGGGAAAATAAACACTAAGAAGCATGGACATGGACACCTGGCACAATACAGACATGCCAACATGAAAATTTTCAAAAATATGTAGGACACGTGCAAAATATATAATTTTATATATTTATTATATGTCATATGTAAAGATAAATAATTATTATATGGCATATATATGAACATTTAAGTCAAAAATAATAATTTTAAATTTAAAATATAAGTGTTGGAAAGTGTCCGATGAGTGTCATGTCGTGTCGGAGTTCGACATGCTGTTGGACAAGACATGTTGCCTTCGTGCTTCTTAGATTGAACATTTAGTAAAAATTATACAAAAGATGTAAAGCTAAATAATGCACCTCCATAAATTGTTTCACCATTTTTTTTTTTTTTCGATAAGCACTTCCTGATTTTCTTCACTTCTTTCTACCCTCTCATTCTTATTCTCTACATTTCCACATTAACAAACATGAAGTACCCAAATTTAGATTATTAATGGTGAAGAGCCTATAGTTTACGTGGATATCAAACTGCATTAGATGCTTGATGCAGAGCTCAAGGAAAAATAAATTCAAAGAAGCTGCGATATTTGGAAATTGGCATGATTTCAAAGAGAAACCGATAGGAAACATACATAATCATATTTCCAGTATTATTAGTCTTATTTCATCATTATTTTTATGTTTTCTAGGATTTTTAGGTCAAGGGTGTTTTGACAATTTTTATATATGTTGAAATGAGCTATAGGGGTCACCCATGGGTTGTCCTATGGGTCGTCCTATGAGTTAAGTTATTTAATTGGTTTTTATTTATGTTTCTTATTTGGCCTTAAATTAGTTTGAAAGTCAAAGTAGTTTTAGTAGTTTCCTTTTTTGGTTCTAGTTGGTTTAAGAAGTCTCCTAGTTCTATATAAAGTCATGTAATACTTATAATTTAATAGAGTTGATATTTTAGAAAATTTTCAGATCTTTGAAGCTTTATTGTGGATTGTGTGATGCAATCAACCATAAGTATGATGCCTAAGGGATTCTAAGAGTGATTCTTAGACCTATCTTCTCCTTCTCCTTTCTTTCTTTCTTTCTTTATGAAATTTCAGCACTTTACAGCCCCAGAACAGCCCCTAACAGCGCTGTCCTGCATCAATGCTTAGACATATAAGAAAGATAAGAAGCAGGAAAGAACTTAAAATGGATAACTCCTACTGATGACATACTGATCATATCATCAAATACACTTGTTGGGTAAAACCTTAAGCAGTGATGGAATTGCAAGAGGTGAATTCTTACTTCACAGATTAGACAGCATAAAGATTGATGCAATTAATTATCAATAGAAAGATTGCATTCCAATACAAACTAAGAAATGGATAAGGTTGATACTAACCTAGGTTTTGCAATAACTACATCCTTTGGGGATACAATATAGTATAATGGCTCATCACCAGCAGCCCACTGACTACCTACATCCAAATGCAAGTACATAAATTCTTGTACATTACAACTATTTTCACTTTTCAAATGCAAATAGACAAATTCCTGTACACTTTACCTGAGAATGGAGCATGGGCAAGGGAATAGTCCTTTGCCTTGTAATGCTCAAAGCCATGGACAGGTAATGCATCTGTTGCAAGCTCATCATTATTCCATGTGACTACACGCACTTCTGGTCTCTGAGCATTTCCCTGCTTAAAATAAATTAACACATTAACATTTATTATAGCTTTCTCACTATTGCAGCATCCCTGTCCACGGCAATCTCGAAAACAGATGGGAATGCAGCCTCCAACTAGTACATTTGCACTATCCTTACACATCAGAACAGAACAAAAAAATCTTACAAATTACAAGAGAATTGAGATCTAAAAGTCCACACATAAATTTTGCAAAATTACACAAGCAAATTAGTACAAAAATTCTAGAAGTAGAACACAACCTAACTTTTACTAACCAAAAAAAAAAAGGATCTCAATGTTCGAAAATGATTAACCGCTCTCCTGGTCTTGCAGTGAAGCATAACTGCAGAAAGCTAAATTTTATACAACGACCAGTCCTATTAGTTGTTCCTGTAAGCAGCATGAAACTTCTTTCTTAATATTTTCCCTTTACTTGTGAAGTTGTGATTGAGGAAATTGAGGAAAAAGAAAAAAGTGCTCAAAACTTCCTATTTCTCTTGGTTAGAATTGATACAAAATGCCCACATACCGAACGCAAGAAGTGAAATGAGTAATGCATAAAGATCAAAAGCAAGGAGAAAAAAATAGAAACAAATAATATGCAATGCCACATGGAAATGAGTGCTCTAAATTTCAGTAGGTGCAAGTTTCATAACACAAATCTACTTTATTTAGAAAACACAAATGAGCAAGACAAATACCTGGCGTGATGGAATAGTGCTGCTAAATTCCTTGTCTCCATCTTCTTCCCCCGGAATATAAGCTAAAACAACCAAAGAATCACCAAAGGGAGCTATTCCAGAAATGAAATAGCTGGTTTGGAATGATGCCACAATATCCACCTGGTTCAAACTAGACATTGAAATATGCCTATAAGTCCCATTCGCACCTTTATTCTGATTTGTTTTTATTGATACGATTTTCACAGATGTTCCCCAGCCAATTACCAAGAGAGTATCATCCTGAATAAGATGGAGAGACAATATGCAATTTCAAGCAGTCTTCAATTAATACAATGGTGCTACATTTCTATTTGGAGGTAAGAAAAAAAATTGAATTAAATTAAAAAACAAAATCTAGATAACTGTGACATTTTGTCCAGGTGTCCGCTCGAGCGAAGGAAGTTACGCTCGATCAAAGAATTGCAGCTCTCAGAATCTCTTGAGTTTGCAGGCGGGTCGTTCGAGTGCAGGAAGTTGCGTTCGAGCGGAGAATGTTGGCTCCCAGTTGTGTTCACTGTAGCTCTGCAAAACTTCTAGGACTTGTCATTTTACACTCAAGTGAAGGATTTGTTGCTCGAGCAAGCTTTCCAAGTTTGTGTCTCACGCTCGAGCGTAGGAAGTTGCGCTCGAGTGAGCTGTGCGATATTAGCAATTTAAAAAGATGATTCTAGATCATTTCTTTACCCTATTCTCTTCTATTTTCTTTCTCCTCTTCCTCTCTCTAAGAAACCCTAAGTTCCATCCCAAAATACTTCTCATTCACTCAAGATCCCACCTAAATCTCTTGCAAGGAGTGAAGAACACTTGAAGATCACCATTTTCACCGATTGGATTATTGATTTTTTTGCGAAGGATTCTTCTAGAGGTTTGGTTCTTGTGCTCCTAGCCTGAGGTAGGGTTACTTTTAACCCAATATTTTCTTGTTTTGAAGAGGTATTTATGGTATTGTTGTGGATTATGACCCAATTTGATGACTTAATTGGAGTAAATTACTATTTCACACCAATAAAGTGTTTTACTCAACTTTCATTATGAATTTCCCAAATTATTTTCACAAATAGGCATATTAATGACAAGTAAATTCATACATTTGAAGAAGCGGCAAAAACCCACAAATTTAATTAAAACCCTAATTTCAACTCAAGTAGAGAATGGTATTTAACTTGGGATTTTCTTAAATGTGTGAAAAGTGTGAAAAGTAAAGAGATAGAAATATATGATATGGTTGTTGTGGGATTATGGATTGGACATCGGTTCTTATGGAATGCTATGTTGTGTATTATCTCATGGAATATTGAATGTTTGTTAACTGAATGATGGTTGGTGAATTGGTGTTTGTTTATGGCACGAGTCCTAGACAAGAGTCGGTTTTAAGGGTGAGTTGTGTTGGTACCCGCGCGGGGAAAATATTTTGGGGCGTCCACTGGTCCTGCCGTATTGTAGTCGATAAAAGTGAAAAAACGGATGATTTTGGGTACCCACGTCATACCGTATAATAGTCGGTAAATGTAGGGGTTGTTTCCAATTTAAAAATGCTTTTGGGTGCACGTCCTGCCGTATAATAGTTGGTAAATGTGGGAGACTGTTTTAAAGAAAATGATTTATGTTTTGACTCGGACTCTTGTAAAGGACTCATGGTGCTATCCTTCTTGTATGATGGTGTTTAGGTGCAATGTGCAGAGGTGAATTATTTAATGATTAATTTGTTTGCCTATTTGACCCATCCCTTATAACTGAATTCTCTGTATTGTTTCTACATTAGTGCCATGAGCTTATTCAAATAATTAAATACTTAGTTAAATGTATTCCTACTAGGCAATTGCTCAACCCTAATTAATTTTTCAGGAAATGACAACATTCCACCTCAGTGAGGATAAGAAGCAAACAAGTGCTCTTTTGAGGAAAGTAGGCCAGAGAACGTTTTGATTGTCATGCATTGGGATTTTGTATAAGGACTTTTATATTTTCGTAGTTTTTATTTTGTATGCCCTTGAAGCTCATTTTGTTGTAAAGTCATCTAATTTATTGAACTTGGGGATGAGATTACAAAGTTTTGAATTTGTAAACCATAATGATCGTAAACTTTTGGATCTTAGTTCAATGAGAAAGATGACTTTTGATAGAAGGCTATGCTTGTTGTGGTGTAAGCTTGTATGTAAATTCAGGGCGTTACAATAACTCTGATGTTGCTATTCTTTCTAGACTATTGTTGCAATTGCAGTTGCAATAACTTCATACAAGTGCACGTACAAATAATATGGCTATGCAATCTTCTACTTGTGAATATGTATTTTATATTTGTTTTATATTTCTGTTATCCTCTATCTTTCTTAGGGGTAGTTTAGTCTTTCTCTTGTAATTAGGGTATTAGGGTTTTGTTAGTTTAGTATATATGTTGTATTTAGTCCCATTGATTGTTTACTTCAATATAGAAAATATTACATTTGTTATCATGGTATCAGAGCTCTGGTTAAGAGAGGTTTTAGGTTCAAATCTCTCCATTAGCATTTGGTATTATGTCCCCGTTTGTTTGCTTCTCCTTCTATTTGGTTCTCTGTTTGTCTCTCCACATGCAACATGGGGTTGCACGTAAGGGAGGGTGTTAAATAGCTTGATATACATTGCTGGGCACATTTCCTAACAGCTTAGGCTTTTGGGAAAATTGGTAACTTAACACGGTATCAGAGCTCCCGTTGCTAAGATGACTATTGTTCGCACTCTTATCTCTGTTGTTGTTGCGCATCAATGGCCTTTGTTTCAGTTAGATGTTAAGAATGTTTTTCTTAATAGGCATCTTGCTGAAGAAGTGTATATACGTCCTCCACCTGGCCTCTCTCACCCTCCCAGTGTAGTTTGTCATCTTCGTCGTGCTCTCTATAGTCTCAAGCAGTCTCCTCGTGCTTGGTATGAGCGCTTTCACTTCGTTGCCCTTCAGCTTGGATTTTGTCCTAGTCTTCATGATTGTGCTCTATTTGTTCATCGTACTTTTGTTGGCCTTGTTCTCCTTCTCTTATATGTGGATGATATGATCATCACTGACTCTAATCCTGGCACTATTCAGGAGGTTAAGCACTAGTTGTTTCAGGAGTTTGAGATGAAGGATTTGGGGTCTCTTCGGTATTTTCTTGGTATTAAGGTTGCTACTTCTCCTACTGGGTATCTTTTGTCTCAGACTAAGTATGCCCGTGATATCCTTTCTCGTGCCAATCTCACAAATGACAACACTCCTATTGAGTTGAATGCCAAGTTTTCTGCATCTTATGGAGTTTCTTTTGCGGATCCCACTATGTATCGTGAGTTGGTTGGGTGTCTTGTTTATCTCACTATTACTCGTCCTGACATTTCTTATGTTGTCCATATACTTAGTTAGTTTGTTTCTGCTCCTCGTTTCACACTTTGGGCTGGCTTGCTCTGTACTCTTCGCTACCTTCGTGGTACCTTGTTGAAGTGTCTCTTGTTGTCTTCCTCTTCGAACTTGGCTCTCTGTGCCTATGCTGATGCTAATTGAGCTGGTGACATCTCTAATCGCAAATCTACTTCTAGCCTTTATGTGTTTCCAGGTGATTCTCTTATCTCTTGGAAAAGTATGAAACAATCGGTTGTTGCTCGCTCCACTGCTGAGGCAGAATACCATGCCATGGCTCATGCTACTTCTGAGATAATTTGGCTTCGTCAGCTTCGTTCCAATATAGGTGTTTCTATCTCTTCCCTAACCTCCGTTGTATTGTGATAATCAAAGTGCTATACAGAATACCCACAATTCCGTTTTCCATGAGCGTACAAAGCATATTGAGATAGATTGTCACTTTGTTCGACAGCATCTTCAAGCTGACACTATTACTCTCCCTTTTGTTCCCTCCTCCCTTTAGTTGGCCCATTTTTTTACAAAGACTCCCACTGCTGCTCGTTTTCGTTTTTTTCTAGGCAAACTTCCGATATTTTCTGCACTCGCTCGCATCCTCAGTTTGAGGGAGATGTGAATATGTATTTTATATTTCTATTATTCTCTATCTTTCTTAAGAGTAAGTCTTTCTCTTGTAATGAGGGTATTAAAGTTTTGTTAGTTTAGTATATATATTATATTTAGTCCCATTGATTATTTACTTCAATATAGAAATATTACATTTGTTACCACTACTGACCTGCCAAACTATGTGAGGAAGCAAAAGCTCAGGGCGTGGGATTCCTCGTGGTCTCTCAATAAAGGTTATACGCTGATCATTAGCAGTATCATAAACTTTGACACCTGCATCATTAGCCCAAGCAATGAGACTTGTTCTCCATTTCACTGCATGAATTGGGCCTTCACCAGAGTGCAGAACCTGGAAATCAAATAAATATATCATTCATGAACCCAAAAAACTCTTTCCTCCAAAAAAAATTCACTAAGAACTTTTAATTAATTCTGAACTACATAAGGAACATGCCCAAACTATAACAAACCTGGTCACGATAGCCTATCCACTTCTTCACATTAAAATATAAATGACCTGCTAAACCACCAGCAACAAATCTTCTGGATGATTTTCTTGTATAATCTGGATCCAGAGCAATCGCCTTCATCGGGCGATGATACTCAAATTTCATTTTCTCATCAGTAAAAAAGCTGTTTATTACAACAGATCCATCATCTGAACAGCTTCCAATGTATTCACCTTCTATGTCAAAGCAAAGATCATTGACAGTAGCAGAATGAACAGAGAATTCCTTTACCTGTGGGGGGGGGGAACTTATTTTCAATCTCAAGCAACGAAACAACAACATTAAATTAAAATGCAACATTCTATCAGCTTAGTAAAGCTAAGCTAAAAAAATAAGAAAAATCCACTCTCTGAGCTAATAAAGTAATTGAAAGCTCCACAGACAGGCTTGTGACACTAAGTGAAGCTCCAGCATGTACAACCCAGTACTCTAAATTTATGACACAACCCAAAAGCTCCAAAAGTTCATTTTCAGAAGAGCAAAACAAATTCTTGCAGTATTTTTTTTTTTTCTCTTTTTTTTTCCTATGCAGATTTGGCAACACGGATTTTAAAGATTTTTGCTAATGTATGCAATGTTATGCTTAAAATTTGCCTAAAAGAATTAAATACATTTGTAACTACATAAATTTACAGATGATTAAAAGGCACACATTTTTATTTTAGAATTCATTGTCATATTCTAGGTAATTAGTATTAGTTATCAAAAAAGAATATCATATTCTTGATAAATACATTTACAGTAAGGCATTACAATGGTGCAATTTCATAATCTATTCCTTTCTTGGAAACAAAAAGGGCTTTGGGATCAAAATTTACTATCTTTAGGGAAGTTTGGTTGCTAAAGAAAAACACATCTATATATTTGAAAGAATGAGTTAGTTTAATGTGAATTGCAAATGCCTAAGACTGATTCTGACAAAGTTTTAGGACTGCGACTCTCACAAAGTTGGTGTACAACTTAAATATCATTAAAATTGATTCACAATTGTCCTATTCTTTTACTTGGATATGCCTTATGGGACAAAATTTTCGTGTCATAAGACCTGCAAGGAGGATTCAAATAAATAGTAAAGACAGTATAAACGATTTAAAAAGCATACTCAAGTAAACAGGACTTCACAAAACAACTTATATTCATAAAAATAAAGCACAGTCCCATTTTTCTTATGGTTGGTCAGTTGCATTATATACAAATGTGAATTTTATACAGGACAGGAATAAGGGGGATAGACCTGACAATTTACAAAAGAATGATATAGATTAGAAAAACCTGAAACCACATAGTAAGGAAACAAGACCAATCATTCCCTTTTCCATATACTTGTTTCAATAGATCTGGTCTTCCAAATACATATTGATTTCTTGATTCTCAAAAGATTGTCCTTCTAATTTACTTAAGGAATAACCCAATGTTGATCCCTGTTAAATGAGGATGTTGGGAGGGGTAAAATTGGAGACAAGACTAACAATTGATATTGTTTGCATAAAGTGGATGCTTTGAGACATGAACCACATTCTCACGCTGAGCAACCTAAGCTTTTACCATTGCACCAAGCACTGCCATATTGTCCTAATATACTAGCATTTTTTATATAAGTAAAGCATCATGTATTAAGAATGTGCCAAAAGGACCACAGCCTCTGCACCAAAAAAGATGCGAAAAAGCTCTACGCATTTCATAAGTGCTCAACACAAATATTGAGCTCACCTATGAACTTTATAAGAGAATAAGAGGATCCACAAATAACTCCTTCACACCAAAAATGAAGGTTGTGCAACAAAGACATTTTAAGCATGTGTACTCCCAAAACAATATCTTCAAAAGTATGTCAATCTGTTTCTCTCTATCATCTCCAACCCAACACTCTTAATTAGAGGATGAAAATACTTTTTTTTATTCAAAAAGTGAATATAGAGTATCTCACTATTCACTCAAACTCCAACCATAAATCATCATTTTCTTCTCTAAAAATTTCTCTCAAAAATATTTCATCAAAAATTTTTGTTCATTAACAAATATTTAATTTTGAAATTTTTGTAAAATATATTAAATACTATACTCATTTTAAATGTATGATTTCACCCTTTTAATGATGCCAATTTTATAAAAATTAAATTTGCATATCAAAAGTTATTTGTAAATTAATATAATAAAAAAAATATAATGAATAGTACTTTAGAGGTGGTTCTCTATTTTTCATCCTCCTTCCAAATATGGAGGATTAACCCATCCTCTTTCCAAATAGAGATGGATTTAGGAGATGGGTTGGAGGTGAAAATCTTTCAAAAATGAAAAAATAGAGGATAGGTTGGAGATGCTCTAAGACACAAGGGGCAACCCCCTACACCTTCTTCTTCCTCTTCACCTTACATCTACCATCAAAGCATTTCATTAGATGAGGAACTATATCTTGCATCACCCAATGAACTTCAAAAATCGCCAGAGGCAACTCCATAGTTCTCGGTCCACCTCAGATGAAGTACTAATTTACTAGTAAGTTTAATGGCTATTTTGCACTCCTGCTGTTTTACAATACACACACACAACAAAAAATCATCCAATAATTGGCAATTGACACAGTAAGTAAATATAGAATATAAAGAATCCCACATAAAGTCTTTTTATGAATTGTTCATTTCATTCATTCAAATACAATAAGTGCAAAGAGCACCAAACCCATAATGAAACACAAAGGGGTGGGGCCCACGTGATGTGGGACCAGCCTTTGTGAGGCATCAAAGGAGACATCTGTGTATTATTATGTGTTTTTATCTTTGTGTTCCTAGGATTGTTGTTTCAAATAAGTGGTATCTTACTGTCAGAACAATAAATAGACCTAATGAGTTATAGTTAAAGCTGCTAGAATACCATACTAGAATGAAGCTGACAACTATCATAAAACCATAAATGTAAATAGTTAAAGCCAAGATGAAACAAAGGAGCTACTGAAGCAATTTCACAGCTTCATATTCACAAAATAAACATTTTTTTTTTGTTTTTTTGGCACGTCACATGATAAACCTACGCTCATTCTCGAAATAACTTTGAATAATACAATTTAGAATTGGGTAGTTCAAATCAAACAACAAATTGATAATCAAAACAAAAAACACCATAAAACGATGAGCAGTCACATAGCAACCAATTGCGATTGATAAGCAAAGACGAAGAAGAAGTGATTCAATTGAAAAAGAAAACAATAAAAACTTACTTGATTGCCGATGAAATCAAGAATATAAATGGAACCGGCGTGAGTGCCGAGAGCAATCATTCGCTCCGCAACGGCAATACAAGAGGCGGCGTCGGTAGACAAGAGGGAGGGCACACTGCCTCCCATTCTCTGGTACTTGAGCCTGGGCTCCTCTTCTTCCTCTTCATCTTCTTCTTCATCTTCATCCGAATCTTCAGCCTCTTCTCGTTCATCATCGCCTTCGACTCCGTTCTCCAATGGCTTCCGATGCATTGTTAGTTAACCCCCGAAAGCAAAAAAAAATAGAATGATTGAGAGAGAGAGAGATCTGTGTTTGGTTTGGGTTATGGGGGTTGGTTGAGGTGTGAATTATGTGATGCTTTATTTTTACTTTTATTTTTATTTTGGGTTTTGTGGGGATCGTTAAGGGGTGGTTATTATTTATTTGCAAGGGAACAAAAGAGTAGTGACGAAAAGGTTAGTTCTGATGCGATCTCTCTCTCTCATCCTACACTGGTTGCTAAATGGTCTTCTTCTTAGATTTTCCCAATGGTCAAACAGTTGGTTCTAGCTTTTCCACGTCAAAAATTATTTGGTGCTGATGGGCCTCACGTCTCACGTGACGGGATTATTCACTAATTACAATATATTAGGGTCATTTGAGAATATGAATTAAAAGCTTAAAGTTAATTTTTAATTTGTTTTGAATCATATTATTTCTCGTATAAAATAATAAAAAAAAGTTAAAAAATCAATTTTTAATCATCTTTTTAAAATATTTTATCATGTTTTTTATTTTTTAATCATCTAATAAAAAATTGTGAGTTCTATTTTTTAACAATCACAACACTATTAGAGCATCCCTTAATAATGTCCCGATTAACAAATAACTTATCTGTCACATCACATCCTGCCATAAGTCTTAAATTTGATTGGTTGCGGAGTTAGGGTCTTGCATTAGCAAATTTGATTGTATTCTCCACATATATTTTCACTCGTACATTTGCGTTTCACGTTTAGATACAATTTTCAAATCGTAATTCCATCATACAATTCAAAATACATCTCCACTTCCCGTTTGGTAGATTTCTCTCTTCATTTCTCCATTGTAAAAAGCTTCCAACAGTACATACTCTGTGCGTTCGATATTCTCTATTTTTGAAAAGTTTCACGTGAAAAAAATTTAAACTTGAACTTCTAAAAAGCTTCACTTGGAAATAAATTTAAAGTTGAACCTCACGAGTCATCTTTCTCTCTTTTAACGATCACAGCTCAAGATTCTTCACGAGTCGTGTTACTCTCTGTGAACTGAGATCTTCAAATCTAAATTATGTCTGTAAACCCTCTCTCCACCCATAAAATCGCATCTAGCAGCTCTCACAAATCAAGTAAGTTGCAGTTTGTGCGTTGTGGAAGATTCACTCTCCAAGCAATGAAACAACAACAAGACTGAGGTCAACTAAATTACAAATTTCTCTCAAATTTAAAATTACAACTCACTGATTTCTTTAAGCATCCCCATATTCATTCCCAATTTATGTGTATCAGGCCAAATTTGTGAAGTGTATTCTCAAATCAGACGCCTACCAAAGAAGCGCACATCCACCAACTATACCCACTCCGTCACCGGTGACAACTATTCCACTCATATTGCTCTGGTACGTGTATCCTTGAATCGATCTGCTAGTCATATATCATTCAATCGATCTGCTATGTAATAACTGGGAAGCAGAAATGGTTCTGATCTGTCAAACCAATCAACTGCCAGGACAACTGGCCGGTCATCCCACCGGTCTTCCAGCCGGTTGACTGGCAGGACAACTCCCTCTCCTCTGGGTCGACCGCTACTTACTCCCTTTGATGCTTATCTTCTTCTTCTACTCTCTTTCTGTTTATTTTTGCTTATTGTCTATTGTATACACTTCTTTCACAAACTTTTTGCATGCAATATTCTGCTTTTTCTTGTTATATCTGTTTTTTCCAACACTGTTAACAACTTCAATTGATGAATTTTTTTTCCTAGCAATATTCTGCTTTTTTTTGTTGTATCTGTTTTTCCCAACACTGTTAACAATTTCAATTGATGAAAACTTTTTCCTATCGAAACATAATTGGAGATGATTCTTGCATTTTTATTTTTTAATATCCAATTTAGATTTGTTTAGATATAAATTATGTGTTGTTAGATGGATGGCAACAATTGTGATAACAATCAAGACACAAGAATGTGGAGTTCCATAATTGAAATGAAGCTAATAAACATGTTGAGAGACGAGATATAAAAAAAATCAAACAACAGGTCGTAGTACTTTGTGGGCAGTTAGGCATTGGAATCATTTTGCAACTGAGTTGCAAAATTTGTATGGGTTTCGATACACACCAAAACAGATGAGACAAAAATATCAATGACTGAAAGCTAATTACCAAACCTTCAAGCGATTCCGGGCATAGACCGACCTGGGATGGGATCCCATTGTAGGAACGGTTGTTGCACCCGATGAATTTTGGGATAAGGCATTGAATTAACTTGAACCCTTTTCAAATTTTTTTGTAACATTTGATCACACATACAGAACACTTATTTTTAATATTTTCAATTGTTGTAGGCAACAAAAAATGTTAAGAAATTTAGGATAAAAGGATTTGAGTATTTTCAAGAAATGGCCGAAATTGTTGAAAACTGTTGTGCCACAGGGGCCCTGGCCCGTGCATCCACACAAGGAGCCCCTGACTTTGATGAAGAGGATGAAATGCTTAATAAATTTTGGTCACCTAGAGCTAGTGGGAGTAATGCGGCTGAACCTATTACTGTTGACTTATTCGACGATGAGTACATAGCACTATCGAAGGGAAAAAGTCACAAGAGGGGCCCTACAAATAACCAGATTGATAGTGGTCGTTCTAAAAGGTCACGGTCAAGTGGCTCTAATGATGTCTGCTCAGCTTTCACTACCTATGTACAGGCAAAAATGAAACATTCCCATACCCGATCAACAGACATAAAGGCTGTAAGTGCAGGTGGTGATGACTATTCTCTTGATGCATTTTAAGATGCCCTGTTAGAGTTTGGGGACATACCACCGATCCAATACATTAGGGCACTGACACTATTCAAAGACAAGGAATGGCGGAGGTTTTTTATGCGTACTCTTGCCCATATGCGCCTAGTTATGATCCAAACTTTACAGTGAATGGAGAAGTTGTGGCTTGATTGAGCTTGCGGTTCTCTTTGTGGTTGTCCAACATGATTTGATGATGTCTATGTTGTTCTTATTAATCTTTTTTTCACCTGATGACATGCTCTTTTTTATCCACTTTCCTCTGTTTATTTCTATATTTTTTAAAATTGTTTCTGTTTTACATTTAGATGTGATTTTATTCTTCTACGTTCTTTTATGTCTGTTTTCTTATTTCTGCTTCAACTTTCAATTTTACACACAGCATACAATATGAAAAGGTAGTAATGACAATATGACTAAATATTAATATATTTTTTCTTCGCATGTATGTTTCCATCTAGTTCGATAAATAATTAAGGCTGACAAATTGTAGGCAGTGGTTTATTTTAGTTTCACTAATAATGGTAACAATTATCATGTTATTAATCATTTTTTTATAATCATACGTTATTGTTATGTAGACGAAACAATATGTCATCTGACACGGAGAACAATGCAATGGAGAGGTCATCAGAAGAGGATGAGGTTATTGAAGATTTTATGGACTTTTTGATGATTGCTTTTGTGAATGAGCATATGAATGGGTCAACCAGTAGACGACTGTAGCGAACTTGTCCATTCAAAGGTGATGATTACATCTTCAATTTATTAAATGGTCATCTAGAAACAATGATGGACATCATGAGAATGGATGTCCAAATATTCATTTTATTGAAAGACACCTTACTTCAAAATGGCTTTGTCAAAACTGAACATATGCATATCAGTGTCGAGGAATCGTTTGGCATTTTTTTTATACACTTTTGCACAAAATGACCGACATAGACTACTAGCCAATAGATTTCAACACTCCACTGAAACTATTTGTCAGCACATCAAAATCATTATGCAGGCACTGTGCAAGCTTACATCAACAATTATCTAATAACGTAACCAAGATAAGATACCGACAAAAATTTTAAATGATAGGGGCTTTTGTCCCTGATTCAATGTATGACTACATGTTTATCTTGTAAGTTTTCAATAACAGTAATGAATATTTTTTTTTTTTTTTTATGTTTTACAAGTAATATCTTGGTTTGTTTCGTGTTTAATGTCAAACTAATATATTTCAAGTAGGATTGTGTCGGTACTATCAATGGTACATTGGTGGATGCGTGGGTCCAAACCTCAAGACAGAATACATTCTGTGGTAGCAAAGCTACAGTATCACAAAATGTACTCGCAGCTTGCGACTTTGACATGTTGTTTACATTTATCAATTCTGGATGGGAATGTAGCGCCCACGACAACGCAATTTTAGTTGACTTAATTACAAGAGTTGATCTACATTTCCCACACCCATCCCATGGTGAGTGTCACCAAATAACGCACTGTACTGTCTTAAATGTTGATTTTTGTGTACATGTATTTGACATAGCATTGCCTACATTATTTACATGCAAGCAAGTATTATTTAGTGGATGCCGACTTTACGAACATGCCTGGATTTCTTACTCCATTTTGTTCCCAACGCTATCACTTGCAAGAGTTTCATGGTCGTCATTATTCTGGACCCAATGAATTGTTTAATCATCGACATTCGTCGTTACGCAATGTTATGGAAAGAACATTTGGTGTTTTGAAAAAGCGCTTTTCAATATTGCAGTCCATGCCAAATTACAAGTCAACAAGACAAGGACCCCTCGTGATTGCATGTTGTGAGGCAGCTATAAACCCATTCTTCATGGAAGCTGATAATGAAATGGCGGCAGAAGCAACAGTAGACGGGTTTGTTGGAGGCCGAGCTGACTATGTTAATATGTCACAACATGGGTTGATTTACCAATTGAACTTCAGGGATGCAATTGCGACTGCGATGTAGCAAAATCATGTTGGCTATGAGTAGGTTTGTGACGTGAATAAATAATGTGAATTTCGTTGTATTGTATGTATTATTACATTCGACTTTTTTTTTTAATGTGTAAAACATTTGAAAATATTAAAAAAAAAATTAAAAATATATACTAAAAATAGTGAATTTTTTTGTGTACTTATTTTGGCTTTTTAATTTTTTTAAGAATCTTTAAAAAAAAATTTAATTTTTAGATTTGTCTACATAAGATAGACCGAAAAAGGTAAAAAAAAAATGACATAATTTTGAAAAAAAAATCACTAAAGACAAAAAAAAATCAAAAAAAGAAAAAGAAAAGAGATATAGCTTATAAACAGTATCATGTCCATAAATGTGGACTCAACAGTTCAATTTGGCCCCATAAACTTTATTTTAATGATTTGATTAGTT